TTCTTTTTGCTTATGTGGTGCTGAGGAATCGAACCCAGGGCCTCAGGCATGCAAGGCAAGTGCTCTACCACTGAGCCACCTTCCCAGCCCAGGAGGCTGAAATTTGAGGATCATGATTCAAAGCCAGCCCAGGCAGGAAAGTCCCTGAGACTCTTATCTCCAATTAATCACCAGAAAACCAGAAGTAGTGCAACTTGAAAAAAAATTAGAAACCTGTCAGGAGTTAAAAATACAGAAGAGCAATTTTACTAAAATGTTTTCACAATGACTGTATACCAATTCACTGCTGACTAATGTTATATAGTTCTAAATAATTAGATCTTCTTTCCTCATTTAAGGTCATTTCCCTATTAGCAGTGCAATTTACTCCCATTATTTAAGCTATAATAAAAAGGGGAACTTAAAATCATTCAGTTCAATGCCTATATGGAAAAATTTAGGCTTTTTTTTTGGGGGGGGGACACCTTAGGAATGAAACCCAGGGCCAAAACTGTGTTAAGCATACACATATTCTTAGATGACTACTCATCCTTAGATGACTACTTCCAAATAGCATAAACTAAAACTGATAATAATGCGTATTTTATAGATTATGGAGTTTCTGAATGAAAATCACAAATCTTTCAGATTTCTAACACAACATTTATTTTCTAATCTCTTAAAATAGAAAATGATTTTTATCTATTTAAACAAAACAATGAGAACATAAAATGTTGAAATAAATGTTATTAAAAAGTAATTACATACCTATCTCCTTCCAGTTTTGGAATATCTGAGCAACTAGAGGAATCTTCCAGCCATGCCAAAGTTGGTCTCCTTGAATCAACTCCTGAGCTTGGTTCTCCTGATAGAATAAGCTGTTGTACAATTGCTGGATCATAAGCATTGATTTCAAACTTTAAGTGGACCTAAACAAAAGAAAATCCTATGTTCAAAACTAATTTTCTTTTCCAATTACAAATGTGTTACCTCAAAATGAAAACCTACCTTCATAAGTTTGGAAACATCCCAGATGCAGATCTTTCCTCGTTTAGTTGCAGCAGCTAGAAAATGAGGACAACTCCCAGATCCAAAGCAGGATATCCTGTCAGTTCCATCTGTACACGGAAACTGTGCAGGACTTGTTGCAAGAGTGACTGACAGTGGTACGTTCTGTGTGTGCTCACCTTTCACAAACGGACAGTTTGGGGAATGTCTCTCATGTTCAGACCTTTATGCAGATTCAAAAAAGAAAACTTAACAATAGCAAAATTAAATTTGTTCATTAAAACAGAACTCCAGGCTCTTATATAAATAACAAGTAACAGAACTACTAAAACTCTCAATCGAGTAGCTTGATGGTTCAAACCACAGCACAGCCTATAACCTTGAATAACTACTGTATTGTTTGCAATTCCCTACGCTAGTAGCAAGTACTATAAATGGCAATTCATACCACAAAGTTTAGTAAATGTCTTTTAAAAGAAAGAGAGAAATCTCAGCTGGAGAAAACAGCTAGAAGAATCATTCAAGTGGTATAGCAGTTGACTATGAAGTACAAGTTCCTGAGTTCAAATTCCACTACTGTCCCCTACCCCCCAAAATATAAAAAGACACGTGAGAATGCCTTATGCTATAATTCTAGCTACTCAAGAGGGTGAGATCTGAGGATTGCAGTTCCAAGCCATTACCAGCAGGTAAGCCTGTAAGGCATTCTTATCTTCAATTAACCACCAAAAAGCCATAAGTGGAGCCCATGGCTCAAGTGATAGAATACTAACTTAAGCACAAAAGCTCAAGGACAGTGTCCAGTACCTGAGATTCAAGCCCCAGGACGGCTCTTCCTTTTTTTTTTGTTTTGATATATGAAAATACTGTAATGAAACCTATTAAAATGGTTGTTGTAGAAATACTAGAGTAAAGGAGAGTGATAGGAGAGATTGATTGGAATACATTGTATACATGCACTGAAATCCCACACAGTTTAATTAATGTATGTTAATACAATTTTTTTAATACTTTACATATACACTATTGGCAGAACTTAACTAACAAGTGAAAGGCACTGTTTGATCACCACTACAAGCAAACAAAAACTCCATGTCTTGGGGCTGGGAAAGTGGCTCAGTGGTAGAGTGCTTGCCTTGCATGCCTGAGGCCCTGGGTTCAATTCCTCAGCACCACATAAGCAAAAAGAAAAAAGCCGGAAGTGGAGCTGTGGCTCAAGTGGTAGAGTGCTAGCCTTGAGCTGAAGAGCTGAGGGACAGCGCCCAGGCCCAGAGTACAGGGCCCACAACAGGACCAAAAAAAAAAAAAAAACAAAACCTCCATGTCTTATAGATTAATACCTCAGTGGACATGATAACACACGCCTATAATGCCCACGTTCAGGAGTTTCAAGCAGGAGGAACGTGAGTGAAGGCAAAATTCCATTTAAATAGTTGAAGTTCAAGGCCAGCCTGTGCTACAACAGGCAGACCCAGTCTCTAAAAATCACACACACCCATTTTGACAACTATATCTTTTATGTCTTTTTATAATTTTTTGTAATTTTATAATCTTTTTTTGATTTCAAGACATCATTTGAAATGTCAGAATTCTACCAAAACAAAATGACCTCGTTTTTCTTATCCCTGGCAAAGGAGGATAGGAGAAAATTACTCATGACACATCCCTAACATGTGCATGTTTTCTTTTTACACTGCACCTACAATGTACTTTATTTACAAGATAAATTATATCCCAGGGCCTGGGCTAAGTCCCTGTGCCTCTCTGTGCTCAAGGCTAACACTCTACCACTTAAGCCACAGTGCCACTTGCAGCTTTTCCTATTTATGTGTGCTAAGGAATCAAACCCAGGGCCTTCATGCATACTAGGCTAGCACTCCACCACTAAGCCATATTCCCAGTCCCTCATCTACCTTTTCATATTCCACTGTCAAGCACACATTTGAGACAATGTCCCCTCAGGCAAAATCTTAGTTTATTCTCCTCCTTTCCACATTTTCCTACTGCCTGGGTTTAACTTGGTGATAACTGACTCATGGACTTTCCAGCTGGGACTGGCCTCAATTGTAATGCTCAGATCTCAATCTACTGAATAGTTAGAATTTAAGGTAGGGGTGACTCAACACTGCCCTGAGTTTTAACTTTTCAAAACCGATTTACACTGGATGCCAGTGGCTCATGCCTGTAAACCGAGCTACTCAGGAAGCTGAGATCTGCGACTGCGGTTTGAAGCCAACCCAGGCAGAAAAATCCCTGTGAGACTCTTATTTCCAATTAACCACTCAAGTACTAGAAGTGGCTCTGTGGCTCAAGTGGTAGAGTGCTAGCCTTGAGCACAGAGGTTTAGGGACAGAACCCAGGTTCTGAATTCAAGCCCCACAGCCCAAAAAAAAAATTGTTTATACAAGTTATTCATAACCAGTAACCACTGTTTTAACATATATATTTCTTTTTTTTCTAACATATACATTTCTAAGCCAGGTACTGGTGGCTCATATCTGTAATCCTAGCTACTCAGAGGGCTGAGATCTGATGATTGTGGTTCAAAGCCAGCCCAAGCAGGAAAGTCCAAGAGACTCTTATCTCCAATAAACCACTAGAAAACCGGAAGTGGTTCTGTGGCTCAAAGTGACAGAGCGCTCACCTTAAGCTGAAGAGCTCAGGAACAGTGTCCAAGCCCAGAGTTTAAGCCCCACGACCGACAAAAAAATAATATATATATATATATATATATACATTTCTAAAATATTTAATAAGTTTATAAATATGAACATAAGACTATATTATATTTTATATACACATATAATTATAAAAATACATGAGGTTTGGGGGCTGAGGTGTAGCTCAGAAGCAAAGAGCTTGCCTAGCAAGTGCAACATCCTGGGTTCTATCCCCAGTACCAAAAAAGAAAAGACAAAAATAAAATTAAAAAACAAATGAAGTTGGTTGTTTTTGTTTTTATTTTTGTTTTGGGGGGGGGGGTCCGGTCGTGGGGCCTGAACTCTGGGTCTGGGCACTGTCCCTCAGCTCTTCAGCTCAACGCTAGCGCTCTACCACTTGAGCCACAGAGCCACTTCCAGCTTTTTTCTTTTTGCTTATATGGTGCTGAGGAATCGAACTCAGGGCTTCAGGCATGCAAGGCAAGCGCTCTACCACTGAGCCACCTTCCCAGCCCCAAAATACATGAAGTTTTAAAAAAACTTTTTTTGGCCTTGAACTCAAGGCCTGACTTTTTTGGCCTGAACTCAAGGCCTGGTTACTGTCCCTGAGCCACTTTTGCTCAAGGCTAGTTCTCCACCACTTGAGCCATAACACCACTTCTGGCTTTTTCTGAGTGGTTTATTGGAGATAAGAGTCTCATGGACTTTGCTGTCCAGACTGGCGTCAAACTGCTATCCTCAGATCTCAGCCTTCGGAGTAGATAGGATTATAGGCATGAGCCATCAGCACCAGGCTATCTACCATTTTTTAATACAGATTAAATAATGTTTTGAGAATCGATATGGGAAAATAAAAAAAATCTATATTAAAATGGTGTGTGTGTGTAAAAAAATCTATATTAAAATGGTGTGCGTGCGTGCGTGCGTGCGTGCGTGCGTGCGTGTGTGTGTGTGTGTGTGTGTGTGTGTGTGTGTGGTGAATAGAAACAAAGATACCCTGGCTTGCTTCTGTAGAGAAAGACTATATTTACCAACTAAAAATTTAACCTAAATTGGAAATTGTTTCATATTCAACTCCCAATCTGTAAATAAATGCAAAACAAGTATTACACATGTTAATTACTTTCAAATGTAAATATGGACTCCATATGTAAACTGCAATAGCATTTCGTCATTTGTGTACTGGTTTTTGTGTATGTGGTGGGGAATAAGGGATTCAAAAGAAGGCTTCATGGTCTGGGAAGGTGGCTCAGTGGTAGAGTGCTTGCCTTGCATGCATGGGGCCCTGGGTTTGATTCCTCAGAAACACATAAGCAGAAAAAGCCGGAAGTGGCGCTGTGCCTCAAGTGGTAGAGCACTAGCCTTGAGCTGAAGAGCTAAGGTACTCTATATAGGGTTTTTTTTTTTTTTTGTCGGTTGTGGGGCTTGAACTCTGGGCCTGGGCGTTGTCCCTCAGCTCTTCAACTCAAGGCGAGGGCTCTACCACTTGAGCTACAGCGCCACTTCCTGAAGAGCTAAGGGACAGCGCCCAGGCCCAGAGTTCAGGCCCCACGACTGACAAAAAAAAACAAGGCTTCACAATGGCAAGTGTTCTACCGCTTGGTGCTGGTACCTCCAGACTTGCAATATGTTTAGCAGTTTCACCTCAGCCATAAACTGGTATGCATTCAGACTTTGAACTAATTTTCCAACAGAATAAGTGGTATATCTTAAAAACAAAACTTAGTTTTATCACTTATTACCCACATTCCCTTTAGCAAATTTTACTTTGTTCATTTTTAAATAATTCCTATATTTAACTTCACAAACTATTGAAAAATATTATTAGTTCCCTTTATAAAAGTGAGATTAAAAGTAGTACCTACTTAAGATAATGTGAGGATGAAATGAATTAAAAACAAATTCAGTGCTGGGAACCAATGGCTTAAGCCTGTACATAAACCTAGTTACTCAGGAGAGTAACTGAGATTTGAGAATAACAGTTCAAAGCCAGCCCAGGCAGTTAAGTCCATTAGACTCTTAACTCCAATTAACGACTAAAAAGCCAGTAGTGGAGCTGTGGCTCAAATGGTAAAGTGCAAACCATGAACACCAAAGCTCAGGGATGGCACACATACCCAGCTCAAGCCCCAAGACCTGCACCACAAATTAATTAACTAATTAATAGTAGCTAGTATATAGAGTAGCTATCTGTAGAAATTCCATCTTAATATATAATATCTAATGTCTAACCAGGCTCTAAAATTTCATGCACTACAATGCCAAGACCTAAAATTACTTCAAAATGAGGATGTGTAGAGTAAGTACCTTGTCTGTGACAGTCTTTTCTCAATGAACCAGGAAGATTCAACTGCTGACCTTAATCATGCTACTTAATTTATCTTAGTCTTCTAGCTTTTGATCAGAGGTTACTTTGCTATTATTCTTTGACACTTCTCTCGTGTAGATTTTTTGGGGGGGAGGGACGGAGGGAGTCCTAGGGCTTGAACTCTGGACCTGGGCAATGCCCCTGAGCTTCATGTAATCAAGGCTGGTGCTCTACTACTTGAACCACAGCATTACTTGTGGCTTTTTCTGTGATTTATTGGAGATGAGAGTTTCACAGACTTTCCTGCCCAGGCTAGCTTCAAACCACAATCCAAAGATCTCAGCCTCCTGAGTAGCTAGGATTATAAGAGTAAGCCACAGGCGCCCAGCTTCCCATGTAGATTTTGGAAACTATGAACTACAGAGACATTGTATGTCAACAGATATGACAAGAGTGTAGAAAGGCCCACTTCATTCTCTTAGAACAATGAAAAAAATACATAAAATGTGTAAAAAGGCCAGGAGTGAAGGCACATGCTTATCAACCCAGCACTTGAGAAGCTGAGGCAAGCAAGGCAAGCAATGTGCTCTGTAATGAATTCAAGGCCAAAGTGTACAACACAGCAAAACACTGGCTCAAAATAACAAGGAAACAATCAAGGTTACTGTATCAAAACCAAAAAGTGAAAAGCACCTGCCTAGCAAGCATGACGTCCCAAGTTCAAATGCTGGTCTCACTAAATAAGGAGAAAAAAAAAAAAAAAAAAGAACGGGTATCAGTGGCACAGGCACGTAATCCTAGTTATTCAAGAGGCTGAGATCTAAAGATCATGGTTCAAAGCCAGCTCAGACTTATCTCCAATAAACCACTAGAAAACCAGAAATGGTGCTGTGGCTCAAGCAGTAGAGTACTCACCTTGAGCTGAAGGGCACAAGGAACAACACCCAAGCCCAGAGTTCAAGCCCCACAACCAACAAAAAAAAAAGTAAAGCAGTACTTAGAAGCACATTTGTAGGATTAAGTTGGTCCCAGAAACTCAAGACTCACCAAGGTTCATCAGTAGGTTCCCAACAAACGAGACATACACTACAGGTAAAACACATGGCTCTATCATCTCCAGATGAGGCAGGCTGTAAAATTTTTGAGAGATATAAGTTAATCATCATTAAAGTAGCTTATTAATAAAAACTTTTCTTTAAAGCTATTAATTTAAAATACTATACTAAGGAAAATAAAGTTAGGCTGTACTGGGATTTAATATGGATTTTTTGATAAATTTATACCTATTGACAAGTGTTCAAAAATACCAGGTTTTAAAACGGTAAAGAATAAAATATCAAGTGTTGATAGCAAAACATAGAACTCAAATATATCTGAAAACTAATTTTGTTTGCGGGGGGGGGGGGCAGTACTGGGGTTGACTCAGGGCCTCATGTATTTCATTTGCAAGGCAGGTCCTTTACCACTTGAGCCATAACCTCAACCATTCTCTTTATTTTTAAAGGGGTCTTGTGGTTTTGCAAGGGGCCAGCCTCTGATGGTAATTCACCTACCTATGCCTCCTAACAAGTGGGATTACAGAAGCATACCACCATCCCTGGCTTGCTGGCTGACTTTTTGCCTGGACTGGCTTGAAACCATGATCCTCACAACTTCTACCTCCTAAGTAGGTGGGATTATAGGAAGGCACCACCATGCTGAGTAAAAATATTAATATATTTGACCACTTAGTTCTATAGAGGAAATTTTTTACACATTTTAGAAGACTAAGAATAATCAGCACTAATATAGGAAGGAGATTCTGGTAATGTTATGATTTGGTATCTTTGCAGAGATGGACTATAATGTACACTACTCAAGAGAAAAAAATAACAAGACCACTAAACAGAGGCTCTTTTAGGACATGAAAACAAATTGGATGAAGAAAGTAAGCTGTTAGGAAGAATGATGACACTGAATTCTTGATCTAGAGAAGCAATCTCAGTAATTCTAAAATTAGACAGTCTCCAACAAACATGATTAAACAGAAATCTGACAAATCTGGAAGAAAATATATATAGCTATTTTCTTTGATTCTTTAAGAGTGGTAAGTCAGTGTTAACCTGGTCTATTATAAGCAAGTGAAGTCTATTCATTAAACCTGGCTAAAACCCATTTTTCTTATGCTCAACAATTTAGTTCAGTGAAGTTTTCTTTTCAACTTTTTTTTGTTGGTCATGGGTCTTGAACTCAGGACCTGGATGCTGTCCCTTAGCTTTTATGCGCAAGGATAGTGCTCTATCACTTTGAGCCATAGTGCTACTTGCAGTTTTCTGGTGGAAAATTGGAGATAAGAGTCTCACGGACTTTCCAGCCCAGGCTGGCTTCAAACCACAATCCTCAGATCTTAACCTCCTGAGCAGCTAGGATTACAGGCGTAAGCCATCAGCACCCAACTTCACTTCAGTGAAGTTTTCTATAACTTATTCTCATATCTTTTTAGCACGCTCATCTTTATACTGTACACCTTCTTGCCCTACATAAGCTATGACCAGTTTTCTTCACTAATATTTACTTTATTAGCAGAGATATAACTGCATCTATACCTCTGCAACATCTACATGTATGCCTTTATCAGCTCCTCATTACCAATGTTGACTTTGCAGTGTGTTATTTACAGTGCTACTTCTATATTTACATATGGTTAATTGTCTAAATCAATATTAAAATTTCAGGAGTAACTGCAAAGCTCATTTTACCTTCTAAAAGAAAGGTTCTTGGGGCTGGGAAGTTGGCTCGGTGGTAGAGTGCTTGCCTTGTATGCATGAGGCCCTGGGTTCTATTCCTCAGCACCACATAAGCAGAAAAAAGCCAGAAGTAGTGTTGTGGCTCAAGTGGTAGGGCACTAGCCTTGAGCTGAAGAGCTGAGGGACAGCACCCAGGCCCAGAGTTCAGCCCCCACAACTGGCAAAAAAAAGGAAAAGAAAAGAAAGAAAGGTTCTTTCACTGTAGCCCAAAATGCTCCAGCTCAAGATCCTCCAACCTCACCCCCTGAATGCTATGACTACAGTGTGTACTACCATACCCAGCAGCCTGTAAAACTATTGTTTTGGGGGTTTTTTGGAGGGGGGAATGGGAAGGGATTGAGTGTATATGCTAGTATAGGGGCTTATACTCAGAGCTGACTTGTTCATCCTAGAGCCAACCATCTAGCCCAGCTTTTTTGTGATTAATTGGAGATGAAGATGGACTTTTTTACATAGACTGTCTTAAATTAGTGATCTTGCTGTCTCAGCTTCCTCTAAGTAGCTAAGAATACAGACATGAGTCTCCAATGCCAAGCATGAAACTGATTTTATTCATCACTCTAAACATCTACTTCTATATTACAAAAGCAGAGATCAAAAACTAAAAATAATGCTGGGCATCAGTGGCTTATGCCTATAATCCTAGCTACTCAGGAGGCTAAGATCTGAGAATCACAGTTCAAAGACAGGCTGGGCAGGAAAGTTGATTAGACTCCAATTAGACATCAAAAAGCCAGAAGTAGAGCTGTGGTTCAAGTGGCAGAGTGCCAGCCTTGAGTAGAAAAGCTAAGGGACAGTACCCAAGCTCTAGTTTAAGGTCCAGGACTAGCACCAAAAAAAAAAAAAAAATTGAAAATCAACACCCATCCTAATAGATTACTTTCTAAAAAATCAAATATAGACTGTCAATTTGGTGCTAAAAGAACAATTCCTAATCTGAGAGAAAATAGTTAAACTTTAAGTTAGTTGTTAAAGCAATTTTTCTCCATTTATACACAATATAGCACATAGGAAATAGCTAGTGTGAATCCTAATCAATAGAGTAGGAAAAAGCAGAAGTACATGCGTACAAGCAAATAGGTAGGTAGATTGCATAAAACAAGATTTTGAAAAAGCATTCAAATGCTGACAATTTAACTAAAGGTTATAGTAGTATACTAAACAAAACAAATAGGATTGATAATAACTTTTACCTGATGATAAAATCCAGCTTGAGCCATGGGATCTGGTTGTGCCCACCTATAGCCTACATGTGGCCATGAGGTAAATGTCTCCCGTCTGTTAGCTTCACTATACATCAAAGATCTACAAGTAAACATACTTTATGTAATAGAAGTTAGGCATCAAAGTAGAGTAAAATATATGTTCTTATTGAATTATGAAAAATGGGTATTATCTAATGATCAAATCTAAATTTTTAACTAAAAATAATCACTTTTAAGAATTTCCCTTCAGCCAGGCGCTGGTGGCTCACGCCTGTAATCCTAGCTACTCAGGAGGCTGAGATCTGAGGATCGAGGTTCAAAGCCAGCTCGGGCAGTAGAGACCATGAGACTCCTATCTCCAATAAACCACCAGAAAACCGGAAGTGGCGCTGTAGCTCAAGTGGTAGAGCGCTCGCCTTGAGCTGAAGAGCTGAGGGACAGCACCCAGGCCCAGAGTTCAGCCCCCACAACTGGTAAAAAAAAGGAAAAGAAAAGAAAGAAAGGTTCTTTCACTGTAGCCCAAAATGCTCCAGCTCAAGATCCTCCAACCTCACCCCCTGAATGCTATGA